TTGAACAAAATATAACACTAATAAACTGTTTAAAGTGGTGGTAGTGGGGTTCTATAGCTCTACAGCACAGAAGATACTAAACAGTACAATAAATACAATAATATTAACATAGCATTAGACATACAAAATTATTTATATAAAATGTTAAAAATATTTTCCAGAGAATTATATACATACAGTAATTTTCACTCGGGGGTTAGTTGAAGAGGAAAGAATTCATTTGTTTTTCTGAGTTGGATGTTACCAAAAAACATATGTTTTTGATCACTGCAGTATGATGGGACGTATAGAAGCTTCTAAGTCAGGAGACATGGTTTCTTGTTCCAGCTCTGCTACTATAATGGCTATCTCATCATAACCAAGACAATATTTTTCTGGACCTCAGTTTTCGCATCTGTAAAATAAAGAGGCTGGAATGGATGATCTATAACATTGCCCCCCCATAAGTAACACTTTTCAAATTTTATTTATAATGTTATAGCCTTAACTAAATTCCTTCAATTTTTAGATGACTAAAGAAGGAAAGAGGGAAAATGGCAATTCTACCATTCAGTTTACAGCTTAAAGTGATCATCTGGTTTTGTTTGGGAGCATGGTGAAGAGAAGAAGCAAAAGAGAAAAATGCCTAATGGAAACTAAAAAGTTTTTTTCTTGGGCACACACATTTTCTTCGCCCTAACTTCTTAATAACTAACATTTCAATTTAAGAAATATACTCTTTTTGACTTTATATTTTCAGGGGAAATCAATTTAAGGAATATTGTACAAATGCAAAGGAACAAGATTTTAACAAAGGTACTGGGGGATGGGAAGGTTAGTCTACACTTTTCCCTGACTTGGTGTGTCACTTTAGTTGATTCAACTGCTTTAGTTTTCTCAACTACAAAATGACACATACTTCAATCAATGCTTGTTTTTGAGATGTAGAGATTAAAAAGGTAATGCTTATAAAGTAATTTGAGCTCCCCAGACGGTATCTCACAACAGATAAGAATGCCAAAGAAACAACTAAATAGGTAGAGCAAATATACTCCATCTCACTTCCCTTTTCTATTTTCTTTCATATATGGTTCTTCTCTTTACTTCCAATTTTCAAGTTGTTTTTTCTTCTTCTCTTCTATCTACCACTAATTATACAAATGTTATTTACCACCTAACCATTCCAGTTTCAGGCTCCTAGAAAACTGAAACCTAAAGCTGCAGCAAAATTCATTCAGTCATTACATTGATGCTCACTATTAAGTCAATCAGAAAAACATATATAACGTTCTTATTTTATAAAAACCGAGATTATAGACAGTACTAAAAATGTAAACTAGAAAAAAAATCTTGCAGATGCAAGAACAACTAATATTTGTAAGCATTCATTCCTGGTGACTAATCATTGAGCTCAAAAACTTGGAATCTAAAAAGAAATCTACTAGTAACAAGCACACCATCATTCTGTGACTATTTCCTTGTCGTCAGCAAGTCTCATGAAGCAATATAAATCTTATTTGGGAAAAATTCTATAGGATTTAACTCAACAAAGATCAGCACCTATTCCTAACTTCCAGGAAAGATGCAAAATGAGTGCTTAAATTAAAGTAAAAACTAAATAAATGAGAGCATATAGAAAGGTTCCATAAATGTCTCAACTATGCCATAGTTCTTAAAATAAAATGTTAAGGAGTCAATTAAAACTCCTTAAAAAAAAATCCCGAAATATCAATTATCTCTAATGTTGAATCAAAAAATTACTTTCAAAATACTGTGCATGATTGTTTTTCTATGTTCTCATGTCCTTTCCCAAGAAGTTAGCAAGTGGTAGAAAACTATATCATTCCAATCTAAAAGGTGTGGAGAAACTGAATTTCATGAAGGGTGGATGATTTGACTGAAGCTGTAAAGCAGATCAGGGAACTCAAATCAAGAGTTCTGTTCTTCCTTATATTCACTAAACAAGGAAATAACTTAATAAGATGCTTTATGTTATTCTGCTTATCACAGCAAGAATATATCAAGTCATTTCACACAAAATTGCAAAATGGGTACAAATTTTAAAAGAAACATAAACCCCCAAGACCAACTAGAAGGAGAGGATTAAACCTGCTTAGCATTCTAAGTCTAATCTTGGCTTCAGCAATTAACCTCACTAATGCCAAAGAGGTCAAAATGATAGGTGATAGAATATTAATGTCCTTGGACAGTCATGGGTTTTTTGAAACGGAAAGAGCTTTAGCTATCAGCCTTCTTAGTTCAAATACACTTCAGTGTATTTAACAGTGTTTTCTGAAATAGTCTTGCTGTGCTCAATTAATCCCATGAAGAATGTTCCCCCAAAAGAAAGCAAAGAATACAGGCAAAAGCACATGAATCAGCCATAATTTCCTATTTTAGATAACTGTTGCCATGGTATGGACATCATAAGAGAATAAAAAGTGATTTTTAAAAACTGATTTTGTTTGTAAACTCACCTAATGAGACTTGAATGTTATTACAATAGCCTACCTATCACACATTTGCTCACAAGCTCTAATCCCAAATGACTGATACCATCGGTGTGACCACAGGCAATTCTCATCTATGAACCTCAGTTTCCTCATCTGTGCAGTGTATATAAGATGATAATAACATCAGTATTTACCATGCCAGAATCAAATGAGCTAATAAATTCAAAGTGTTTAGAAACCTGAAATTATATTTATGTCAGTTATTAGAACTGTTAATTTCCTAGACTCATCTCATGCCATTACTGATCAAAAAACATGGAAATCAAAGAATAACCTACCAAAATCACAAAATAAGCCTCATTATATATGCTACATTAATAATAATTAAGAAATTATCACAATCACAAATTTATTAAGGGGATCTCTTTCATTTTAAACATTATGTAAACTTTTTTGGAGCCTTTGTCCCCCAAAATTTGCTAAATTCATTTCAGGAAGACAAAGACCTGGATTCAAATTTCTCCAGACACTATTAATTGTGCAGCCTCATTATCAATTTACTAAATCTTTATGAGCCTCAGTTTACTCATCTGTAAAACTAGGGGTTGGACTATAAAGATCCCTTCCAACTTTAAATCTATTTTGTATTCTCTTACTCTGACAAAACTAGGGGGAGAAAAGAATCAAACTGGGTACTGTTTTTTAAGTGGGGAAGTAAGAGGGTGGCAAAAATCCTTCTTCCAACATAAAAATTTATGTCATGACCTGACTTCAGAGTACCATGAAGTTTCTGAATTTTTCTTTAAACCGCACAATCCTCAAGTTTAAAAAGGGGATTCCTGACTTGGGGGGAGGGGAAGTGACCAGTCCCTGAAATGGAATAAGCTTCCAAAAGGTAAAGGAAAACCAAACTAGACCAACCCCCCCCCCCAAAACCCGAATCGATTCAGTCACAAATCACGCTTGTAGCCGACTCGAACGAGGTTATTTAAGAGTCCTCTGGGGTCACCTAAGGCTGGGGCATCCCTACCAGAGTCAGCCCCCGCGCCCCCCTCCCTTCTCCTTCCTGTCCTAGGAATAAGCAAAGAAAGAAAACCCTTCTCCCGACCTCCCCCACACCTTTTAACTCCCCACCTTGGGGCAGGATCCATCAGCACCGTTTTCCGCAATGACAAGACTAATGCAGAGGCAGCGCCCCCCCCATTCCTCATCACACCCCTCCCCCAAACTAGTCCCACCTCCACTGCCCCAGACACATGGCCGGGATTCCCGGGTCCCCAACAACAAAGGCATCTCCCCAGCCTTCCTCCCTCCTGGCCTTCGCCTCCTCCTCCTCCCCCCGGCGCCGCCGGGCTCTGCCTTCTCTGCAGCTCCCGGGCCTAGGCGGTGCAGCAGCAGCAGTAAGAGGGGATAGGGCCGCCCCGTCCCCCCCCACCCCGATCCCGGGCCTCATTCTCCAACATCCCCGCCGTATACCCACCTGCACCTCCGCGAAGGGTTGGGCTGAAGGAACCGAGGGCGGAGAGAGCCTCTCCCTCCCGAGAAACCGGGATCGTCCGTCCCCCCCTCCCACTCCGCGCACTCTCCGGATCTCTCGCCTCCCTCCCAAAGGGAAGGAATCCGCCGCCGCCGCAGCCGGGGATCCCTTCCTATGGCGGCGGGTCCTCTTCCCGCCCGGCTGGGGGCTCGGCGCGCTCGTCCGGAGGAGAAAGGACAGACAGGTCCGGCGACGGCAGCAGCGCGGGGCGGGGTGGGGAGGGAGAAGGGGGTCGGGAGCCCCGAGAGCTCCTTCCTCGCTGCCTCTCGCCCCGGGGCCCGCCTCGCGCCGCCCGGATCGAGCGAGCCTTCTGCTGAGTAACGGCTCGGGCGCAAGAGGCTGCTCTGGGGCCTTACGTCCCGCGTGATCGTGGTCGTGGTCGTGGTCGTGGACGTGGTCGTGGTTCTGGTCCTGGTTGTTGCCGCCGCCGCCGCCGCCGCCTCTTTTCTTCGGATGCCCGGCCACGGCGGAGAGCCGGCCGGGTCTCCTCTGATCGGGTCCCTGGGCTTCCTCACTTAGTGGTGGGAGGGGAGAGTGCGGAGCGTACGAAGGTGTGCGAGGCACTGGGAAGGCGGGGAGGGGGTCAGACCCAGCGCTCGGTAAACCCGGAGTTAAGACACCAACTGACTGATGGCCTGGGTCCCACACAACTCGGGCTTCAGTCTGCGCGGGGGAGGAGCGACCCATCCTGTCTCTGGGTTCCCGCCAATCAGGAGCCGCCCCAGCTGAGAGAGACGCGCAGGGGGCCTCCGGAGCGGCTGAGCGGGGACGGCAAGAGGCCGGGATTGCGGAAAAGCTAGGCCAATCAGAATGGCCGTTGCGGTGCCCTTCACTTTGATTGACGCCTACTGTCGAGCCAATGAGACAATTCCCATTTCGAAGAAAGCGGGACCAGTCCTAGGGGATTAGGGGAAAGAGAGGGAGAGAGAGAAAGAGAGAGAGAGAGAGAGAGAGAGAGAGGGTAGCTCGGCCTCGTGGACAGGTGGGTGCTCGTGCGCTGAGTGTTGCTAAGGGACTGGGGAGTTTCTCTCTGGACTCTTTCCCCCTCCCCCGCCCCAGGAGTCACGTGGACGATGGAGGAAATACAGAATCGCTTCCTTCCGGGTCAGCCCCGGAGTTGCGGCGAGCTCCGCGTGTCTGCCTCACGGCGCTGCAGCAGCTGCTTTTGGCCAAGTCCTCGGAAGCCTTTTTTTCTGGCTCCCCTCAGTCCCTAACTTCCCAGTCCCATTCCTCTTTCCTTCTTCAGCCTCCCTGGAGGCGGCAGCTTCCGAGATGAGCTCCCAGAAGGGGAACGTGGCCCGTACCAGACCCCAGAGACACCAGAACGCGTTTAGCTTCAAAAATGACAAGTTCGATACCAGTGTTCAGACGAAGGTAGGGGCCGACCCACCGCCATCGCTTAACCTCAGGAAGAGCTGCATTGGAGGAAAGGGGGAGAGACCGAAATGGAGTCAGGGTGGTCGTCGGGGGAGGGTACCCGAGGGCAGCGTAGAATGAAGGGAAAAAAAAATGCACCGAACTTTGAATCTGAATGAGTGGGCTCTGAAGTCCTGGCCGTGCTACTCCGAACCTTAGGCGAGTCACTTACCCTTCTCCTCTCCCCTGCCTTGTTTACGCCTTTACCACGAGGAAGTAGATGATCCTCAAGCACCAAGAGCTCCGACGTTCTATGATACTGATCCAAAGGAATCTGGTATTGGCTGCTGGGCAGGACTTCTTCCCAGCATGGTGTTCCCAGTTATGCTTCTTGAGAGTTTACTTCTGATGAAAGTGTTGATGTATGGAAGCTAGCTAGCTTAATAGAGCCCTGGACCGGCAGTCAGAAAGGCCTGAGTTTAATTTGCACTAGGATCCTTAATAGCTCCGTGGCACTGGACAAGTCGCTTAACCACTTTGCTGCAGTTTTCTTAATTTGTAATAATTTGTAGTTATTTGGAATAATAACAGCACCTGACTCCCAGGGTTGTTGTGAGGATCAAATTAGAAATTTGTGGAGTTCTTTGCAAACCTTAAAAGGCTATACAAATGTGGCTGTATAAAGGGCTATATCATTCACTCTAAGCTCTTTTGAGGACTGGGGCTCTTTCCTTTTTTTTTTTGTATCCTTTATACAGAACATGTGGCTTACACAAAAGTAGGTACTTAATAAGTATTGAATTGAACCGGACCATGCATTTAATTGTTCTGATGATAAACATTTGTCAGCTTTTGAAGAATGTTCAGTTTGCTTCAGAAGCCATCTTATCCGAGGAGGAAACTCAGACCCAGGGAGTTTAAATGATGTGCCCAAGATAGCCTCAGAAGCTTCTGAATCTCTTTTCATGGCTTTCTGTCTTTCATTCAGGGTTTCCCCAGGAAACATCAGAATTTGTCTCGTCTGGCAAAAGGAAAAGGACTTTCAATATATGTAATTTAGTACAGACCTTATTTAAGTTGATTAAAAAAAAAAGACCCATGAACAGGGAACATTGAGTCTGTAGACACCCACCACTATTCTCTTTCCCTTTACTGTGAACCCTACCGAAAATTTCCCCAAACCGACCTGGGATTGAGTCCTCTAATCTCTTTCTCAAAAAAACCCCCAACAACCCGAAACTAAATAAAGCACCAGTCACTCAGCCCTTCTCTAGAGAATACCACCTCCTTCCAGGTATCTCTGTAAACCATTAGGTTTATTAGTAAATTGAGAGTTGATCACCTCCTCCTTACGTTCTCCCCTCACCCCCCCCCCGCAAAAAAAAGGGGGAATGAGAGTATAGCAACTTGTTCCTTTTAAGATAAATTTTTAAAAATTGGTGGAAATGGCCTTTTTTTTCCCTTAAGGATAAGGGAGACCTGAGCATATTATGGGAAGGTAGGAATAAGCCAGAAGAAGAGATTGAATATGAGGGAGAGAAAAGTGTTGATTGCTCTAGCAAAGTCCTAAAGGAGTCAGGATGGAATGGGGTAGAGGTCCCAAGTTGAGGCAGGCTGGGGACCTTCGGCCTTGAGGCTGACATGGCACCCTATGTCCTCAAGTGGAGCCCTTTTATAGAATCCAAACTTCACAGAATAAATACCCTTAATAAAAGGATAATAATGAAATAGTAAGAGGATTTGTTCTGTGAAGTTTGGATTCAGTCAAAGGGTGGCACTTAAGGACCTAGAGGGCCACATGTAGCCTCTAGGCCAAAGGTTCCCCGCCCCTGTTTTTGGGGATTAGTTTTAGTAAGCAGTAGATAAATCTGCCTTATTTTGTAACCAGAGGGAAAGTGATTGAAGCTGCTGAGAATTTTTAAGAAATGGAGGGAGAAATAGAAATCTCAGCTTGGATATCCATAGTTTTCTCGTGAAATAGGATGCTAGGTCATCTGATATGTGGGGGAAGTGGAGAGAAGAGATAGTTACAGATTTTTAAAAAATTTATTAACCATGTATTATATGCATTGCAGTGTGTTAAGCCCTGGGGATATAAATACAGGCAAGCTGGACGATCCCTGCCCTCCAGAAACTTACATTCTAATTACATTCTAATTCTACACATAAGGGGTGGGGGTGTGATGAGAGGAAGGTACATTTGCCACATAGTGGGTGTGGAAATACACTAGAAGTGTTGTGGAGGCCTGTATCCAAAGAACATTAGGCCAAAATAGGCATATCAGAAATCTGAGCAGTTCCGGGGCAGAGTCCAAGGCTGTAGTTGGGCCGAAGTGGAGATGATGGCAAGAGAGAAGAAATGATTAAGATGATGTTGGGGAAAAATAGAAGCTTACCTCTCTCTTCTTTTACCTCACTTCATTCTTTTCCATTTCAATTTCTTCTTGATGATTCTTTCTTGATCTGTGCTAATTGTGGAGGAATAAAGGGGCTATATTTTCTTTTCTTTCCTTTCTGGTAGCTCTCTATTTGGCTTGTAATCTTCTTCAACTCTTTGTTCCAGTCTAGCTATTGGTCAGTTAAAAAGGACTATTATAAGTAACACGTAGGCTGATAATTATGTAATCTACTGGCTTCCTTGACAGCAGTTGTAACAAAAATTATTTGTGTTACTGTTTAAATAAACATAGGCAATGACTTCAGTGTGGCTGCTAGTTCAGTTTTTTAGATCATATACAATAAATTGCTGAGAATTTGAGACAAACTAGTTGAAAATCGAAAAATTAGGAGTGGCAAAAATAGAATTGAATACAGCAACTTTGAAGTTCCTGGAATTCTGGAATGAAGTGGTATTGATAGGTCATGTAAATAAATATTGGATAGGTCTTCTGGAGGATGTGCATATTAAAATACATGTTTATGAAGAAGCATTATAAATCCATATTTTCACACTGAACAGTCAGTAATAATAACGTGACCTGATAAATGCCTGATTAAAACTTGACAGGAAATTGTGTGTTTACTCATGTAGGCATGTATCTTCATGGTGTGTGTATGTGTGTGTTTGTATTTGTATTTGTATCTGTGGATAACTCAACTCTAGAAGCAAACACTTTAGCTTTGGTTGGAAATGGTTTTACTTACTGTATGGCCAATGAGGTTGTCAATATTGAATTGGATGGACAGAGAATGGCAAAGATGAATGGCTGTTACATGGATTAAGACCTTGTGCAGAAGCCTGTGAATTAGTTGATGAGTGTAAGGGAGAAATTAAAAATGGCTTTGGAAAAATTTATAGTATACTATTGTACTTTTCATGTTTTATTGCATAAAGTGTTTGGAAAAAGCGTTTTGGATAATACTAGCAGGTGCTTAGTAAGTAAATGTTTATTAATTGTCACACAATAAACACACAAATACTTTACAAATGTAAAAATCTGGGAGATTATATTAAATATTTATTCAGACTCATAATTATGCCAAAACCCAAATTCTTTTGTTTTTATATTTTTTTTTATATTTAGTCAACTTTGAGTTCTTCAAAGCAGTGATGTGGGTGGAGCAGGATGGATAAGCTGTCTGTGAATAATCTGCTTATCCCTATTTCATGGGATTCCAGGGCCCTATTCTATGAATCAAGGAAACTTGCCTTGGGGGTGAGGCCACTGATCCATCATAAAATCCTGTGGTAGGCTCTTTGCCAGACTTCTGTCCTGGGTAGTTAATTTGGAACCACTTTCTTGTTACTTAACTTCCATGTCCCACCTAATCTTAGATTTTCTGGTGGAGGAAAAATTGCTGAATATTTTTTTTTAGTTGCTGAATATTGAAGAGAAACTTATAGTGAGTTACTCAAGAGTTTAGTAAAAGTTATTCTGTTTTCTAGAATTAAGGTCTAGTTAAGTGGGTGACCGTTTGGCAAGGTACACTGCAGTTTCAGGAAAGCAGTATGCTGGTATGATGAAGGAGTTCTGGAATGACTTTGGTATTAACAAATACATACATAAATGAAAAAAGTAGCTGGGACAACTCATTAGAGTCATGAATGTATATTTGAACATATACATTTCAATTTAATTTAATAAATTGTTATCTTAAACATTACTGTAATGAATGAACTGTTCTCTCATAGTCAATGTTTTCTCCCCTTGGTGATTTATTGAAAAGAAAGGACAATGTACTTCTGTTTCTGTTGTCTTCTGACTGTTGCCTTTAAAGCAAGTGTGTGTGTGTGTGTGTGTGTGTGTGTGTGTGTGTGTACACTTTATTTCCCCCATTAGAATGTAGACTCCTTGAGGGCAGGAACTTTTTGCATTTTGTTTTTTCATCCCCAGTGTTTATAATAATGCTTGCTGTGTAGTCATTGCCTAATAAATGTTTGTTGATTGATTGGAATGTTTGTGAAATTAGCATTTTTTAATTCTACTGCTAAAAGGGAAATGCATTCCCGTGTTAAAATAATCCTCGTTGAACTGAGTTAAAAGCTTTTGATGAGGAAGGGGTTAAAATGATTGCCAGCCATACTAACTGAATACTGGGTACCCTAGTATAATAGCAGCATTATGCTTTTGAATTTTAGTTTTTATTACAAGTGTTCACTTATCTTCTGTTAGCACTTTCCCAACTCTAGGTTCTTTGTTTTACTATTGGCTGTTTCTCTTTTCTCCCCTCTTACACCAAAATAATTTTTATCATACTTAGAGATTTTTGACTTTATTAGTCACAGCTTCCAGAACTTTATTTCTGTCTTCTGTCTATTGTTTGAGTATTTAAAATACATGATCATACCCTGGCTACAGTATCTTACTTCAATAACAGGGATATACTATGACTTGAACATTTCTTAACCATAGGCTTTTGTTTCTAGAAAACACACTTTTTTTTAGCTCACTATTTTATCAGTTTCGTACATTAGATATGTCACATTTGGTTTACTTTTAATTAGTAATAACATTTGATTATAGACCTCAGAGACCATTGTGACCCACTTCTTCATTTTATGGATGAGAAAATTTAGG